CCTTATTTTTACCTTCTTCTTCTCTCTCTCTCTCTCTCTCTCTCTCTCTCTTTCTCTCTCCTTGAGGGGCGGCTTACACGTCGACAGGGGAGGCCCCACCACAAATGCAAATTGGCACAGAGTGGACAGGCGAGAGGCTGCCAGCTCTGGGCCTGCTTAGCTCAGTGCTGCATGCACTGACTGGCAACAGCTTTCTGGGATCTCCAAACAGAGCCTCTGCCAACCCTACCTGGAAATGCTTATGTATGAACTACTCAGTTCCAGAGTTAAAGGTAAAGGGTAAAGGGACCCCTGATCATTAGGTCCAGTCGTGGCCAACTCTGGGGTTGCGGCGCTCATCTCGCTTTATTGGCCGAGGGAGCCGGCGTACAGCTTCTGGGTCATGTGGCCAGCAGGACTAAGCCGCTTCTGGCGAACCAGAGCAGCGCATGGAAACACAGTTTACCTTCCCGCCGGAGCGGTACCTATTTATCTACTTGCACTTTGACGTGCTTTTGAACTGCTAGGTTGGCAGAAGCAGGGACAGAGCAACGGGAGCTCACCCCGTCACGGGGATTCGAACCACGACCTTCTGATCGGCAAGTCCTAGGCTCTGTGGTTTAACCCACAGCACCACCCGCGTCCCTCACAGACACGTGCCGGAGTTACGTATAGCTTATATTTACGTATAAGCTAAAGAAGCTAAACTTAGGGCCCCACACTCTTGGGGGCTCCCAAAAAATTAAAAGAAAAAAAAACCTGGATGTACATTTCCAAAATATAAGATAAAAAACAAAATAAATAAAATTGTGTTGTGCAAGAAATAGAAAGTAATGCAAAACGGATTAGTCCATTCCAGACTTTTAAAAACAACCCCAAAAACAGCCATTTAACATGAGTTTTACTATCTAATGAGACATTGATCCATGAAATGAAAGCAATAATCAATATACCGTACTATAAAATAAAGAAGACAGTATTGTAGAAAATAAAAATAAAAATTAAATTCTTTTCTTACCTGCACTGATGATAGTCATTGTTTGGATGGGGGGGCTTTTATCTATTTCCTGCAGTCACACAACCAATCAGTAGCTGAACTGTGTTCCACACAGTCACAAAGATAAATTAACTGAAAAAGCCTCAAAAATGCAAAAAAAAATTAGCAAAAACAAAAGCACCCAACTTAATCCGTTCCAGAAGTCCGTTGGACTTCTGAAATGTTTGAAAACCAAGGCGCATCTTCGGATTGGTGCAAGCGCCCCGCAAACAATAGCCAACAGCCGCATTGGATGTTCGGCTTCCGAAAAATGTTCAAAAACCGGAACACTTACTTCCGGGTTTTCAGCGTTTGGGAACCAAGGCGTTTGAGAACCAAGTTACCACTGTAATAATAAACCAGAGGATATTGAAGAGGGTGTATTCTTATCTCTCTCTCTTTACTTTGTGTTTGTGTGTTATAAATTTCCATGCCTTTGGTTTAAAGTCTTTGCGCTTCTTTCCTTGCCAATTAACATGAATTATGCAGTGACAAGTTTGTGCGAGATAGATGGGAACGGGGCTTTAAAGTGAGTGGCGCACTGGGAGAGAAGGAGGGGGAGGAGCAGAAATCAAGGTGACAGGTCTTATTCTCATTTGTTTCAATTGATTGGGATTTCTAGGGTTTCGTTGCTGTTTTTTTTTAATCCCCTATGGCCTCCAGGACAACAGCCTGGCACACAAAAATTGTGCACGGCCATTTGTGTCAAGTTCACAAGCAGCCACTCTTCCTTAACTTCTAAGGTATTTTGTTCATGGGACTGTTAAGCTGAAGTTTGTAAGCATATTGCTTGATCATTGCAATGAGAAAGCGTTCAGGTGTTCAAACAATTATGTATTATTTCATACACCACTTGGTTGTAAAAAGAAACAACAAACCAACAAACCTCAGAGCGGTGTACAAATAGATAAAAAATTGCACCAATAGTTGAAAACATGCAAAAAGTTAAAATACTAAAACATGTTAAAATTCACACCAGCTTTCTAAGCTTCTGGGTTAAAAGGTAAAGGGATCCCTCACCATTAGGTCCAGTCGTGGCCGACTCTGGGGTTGCGGGGCTCATCTCGCTTTATTGGCCAAGGGAGCCGGCGTACAGCTTCCAGGTCATGGGGCCAGCATGACTAAGCCGCTTCTGGCGAACCAGAGCAGCGCACGGAAACGCCATTTACCTTCCCACCTATTTATCTACTTGCACTTTGAGCTGCTTTCGAACTGCTAGGTTGGCAGGAGCAGGGACCGAGCAACGGGAGCTCACCCCGTCGTGGGGATTCGAACCGCCGACCTTCTGATTGGCAAGTCCTAGGCTCAGTGGTTTAACCCACAGCACCACCCGCATCCCTCTAAAGCTTCTGGGTAAGCTTGTCTAAACAAAGATGTTTTTGATAGCTCAGACAGTAGCAGACCCTCCAAGTGTCCCTTTTTTCCAGGGACAATCCCGGATTCACAGAAGCCATCCTGGTTTCTGATTTGATAACAGAATGTCCCATTTTTCCTTACGACGTCCCTATTACCATTGGAGAAATGTTGGAGAGCATGGTAGGATGTCTCTATTTTCGTCAGAACAATCAAAGAATTGTAAAGTTGGAAGGGACTCCAAGGGTCCGCTAGTCATAGGTGTCAACTCTTCCCTTTGCTTGTGAGGAATCCTATTCAGAATAAGGGGATTTCCCTTTTAAAAAGGGAAACATTGACAGCTATGCATCTAGTCCAAATCTGGAATCCTATTCTGGATGAGCTCGAACCACCAACCTTCTGGTTAACAGCCCAGTTGCACTGACCCATTGCGCCACAGGCTCCATGTATGCCATTTCATTTCTGGTGGCTGCCATTTTGCTTACATGCAGGGAACTAGAACGATGCAATAACCAGGGCACTGAGGGTAAATAAAATGGCAGTCTCCAAGAGATGGGCACAGAGAAAGCCACCCGCTGCTACAACCTCACCTCTAAATGGCATAAATGAAGAATGACTGGGGAGTCTGGAATGGGACTCCCATTGATTCCTGTCTGAATTTACAGTCACACCTCGGGTTACAGCAGCTTCAGGTTGCGTTTTTTTGGATTGCAGACCACCGAAACCTGGAAGTCCCAGAATGGGTTACTTCCGGGTTTCCGTGGTCGTGCATGCACAGAAGCACTAAATCGTGCTTTGCGTATGTGCAGAAGCGCTGAATTGCAACCAGCGCATGTGCAGACACGGGTTGCAAATGCTGCAGGTTGCGAACGTGCATCCTACACGGATTACGTTTGCAACCTGAGCATCCACTGTATTTTGGAACCAATGAAAATTGAACTAAGTGCCCTATGCTTGGTCCACTTTTCATTGTGAAATAGTTCCATAACTCTATAGAAGCAGGCATGCATGCATGTGCACACATACACATTGTTTTTGCCACTTGTGTGGCACTGACACCACTCTGCAGGTAGAGATTGGCAGAGGCCAATGGGGCTGGGTGGAAGGATGTTCCTGCCCAGTTCACACACACCAGTCAGGAGCAACTGGGGTTTGAACTGCACCCTAACCTACAAACAGGGTGCCAAATGGATGAGTTAAAACAAAGGTGCTGACTTTTAAAGCCCTAAATGGCCTTGGCCCAGTATACCTGAAGGAGAGTCTCCACCCCCATCGTTCTGCCCGGACACCGAGGTCCAGCTCCGAGGTCCTTCTGGTGGTTCCCTCCCTACGAGAAGTGAGGTTACAGGGAACCAAGCAGAGGGCCTTCTCGGTGGTGGCGCCCGCTCTGTGGAACGCTCTCCCATCAGATGTCAAGGAAATAAACACCTATCTAACTTTTAGAAGACATTTGAAAGTGGCCCTGTTTAGAGAAGTTTTTAATGTTTGATCTTTTATTGGGTTTTAATGTTCTGTTGAGAGCAGCCCAGAGAGGCTGGGGAAACACATCCAGATGTGCGGGGTATAAATAATAAATTATTATTATTATGCCGCACTGCACTCAGGTGGTAGGAAAAAAGCCAAATGCACAAGAATGTAAGGCGTGTCTGCAGGATTAGGCCAATGACCCTTCAGGTCCAGCATCCTGTTCTCACAGATACATGTGGGAAACCTTCAAGCAAGATCTGAGCACAAAAGTTTGTACTCATGAACGGCGGAGATCACAAACCCTGTCTTAAAATGACTTTGAGGAAACATTTAAAAGAGGGTCTGTTTACCCTTCCTCAAGGAATTAGACACCTTTCACTTCCTAAGATTCTGAACGCAAAGGGAATATTCAGATACGTCAAGGCGTTAAACCTCCCCCCCTTGTTTCCCCCCTTTTTTTTCTCATTTCAACAATAACAGGAATATGCTGCCAGAATTGGGGCTGTTTTGAATTGTGGCTCTGAAATTAACAAATCTGTTACACATTGCAAAAGAAGAAGAAGACAGACAGAGCCAGAGTGAGTTTTTGTTTTGGTCACTGCAGCGAAAGCTTTGAGGGTGGGGGAAAGAGGAGAAAGGGGTGGGGAGTTTTTGGAAAGGAAAAAGAAAGAAAATGTGTGTTTGCTTTTAGAGTGTCATAAAATCTTAACTATGGGGAAAGGAGGGGGGGGGCGGGAATCCTAACCTCTGGGCTAAATCTAAGGAGAGCTGGGGAGAGCGTTGCAAAATCGCCAACAGCAGAGAACGGCTCCAGCTTGCAATAATCTGTGAATGATTGCTAGCAGTGTCTGCAGAGCCTTCAAATTTTTTGATCTGTGCTTGTTCCTTAAGAAAGCAGAGGCGGACGGTGTTAATAAAGAGAGATTTAGCTGCCAGCTTGCACTCTCTGAATTACAGTGGACGGCAAAAAGGTCACAGTTTGATCAGTTGCAGCAGTAGATTACGGGGTCTTCCTCCTTGTTTTGTTTTAAAAGGAGGGAGTGAAGGTGGGGAGGGGGGGAGTGATAGTGGAGAAATGCAGCCCAGGGCTTTGGCAAGCCTTTTAAACACAACAAGATAGGGGTTTTTTGTGGGGTTTTTTGCGGGGGGAGGGTGGAGAGAAAGAGAGACGCTCAAGTTCTTATCAGCTGAAAAAGGAGGAAGAGCTCTCTCCCTCTCCCTCTCTCTCTCTCTGTGTTTTTACTTCTTCGTTTCGGATTGTCTGTTGTCATTCCCACCCAGTAAAAGCCGAGACAGCAGCCTGCTTCTTAGTAGCTGTGCAACTCTGCAGATCGTTTGCTTTTTACATTTTCCTGTCTTTTTGTTTTTTTAAAAAAAATACAATGGTTTCAATCATCTCTGATCTGGACCCACTGAAAAGCTGGAAAGTTTTAAGGTAGGCCTGTTTCTTTCTTTCTTTCTTTCTTTCTTTCTTTCTTTCTTTCTTTCTTTCTTTCTTCCCCCATAGGAACCCCTCCTCCGTTTACCTTACTCACAAGTACAACGCATGCACGGGCTTGGTCTGCGCTTCAGAATCACATGGGGCTTAACCTCGACTGCACTGCAATCTCGGTGCTGTAACCACAATATGAATTCCTGGGTTTAAGATACAACAAGAGTTTCTGGTAATTAGACCCCCCCCCTCCTTTTAAAAAAAAAAAAAAAGGATGAGGGGGGTTCAGCTGATGTTTCAGCGGAGTCTTCATTGAGAACTTTGAATATATCCCTTAATGCAGACCGGAAAAGTTGGTTGCCTTGTTATTTTAAAGTGGGATTTATTTCGAAGCTGGAGCTGTAATAAGTTTAACACTGGCTGAGACTGCTAAAGAGTTGAAAAACTTGTGGGGTTTTATTATTAGTATTTGCTTCGTCGGAGAAAGGATTTTCTAAGTGATGTGTGCATTGCTGCCTTAGCAGAGGGCATGTCATTAATTTTAGGGGAAATTTCCCTTATTTTTGAGCTTTACAGAATACTTTTGGGAAACTATTTATGCAAGGCATGATTTTGGTTCTTGAGGGTTGTTTGTGCCTTAACTCTACTTTTAAAAAAGTAAATGGGAAGGGAATGGTTACTGCTTAAATGGGTTTTACACGAATTCGACCTGTCACAATAGTGTTCTGAAATGCTTTGTGAGGCTACCCATCAAGTTTTTGGTTTATAAAGTACACTGCTTCCTAAAAGTTTTGGGATGGCACTGCAGCCCTTTCTTAAAACTTCTACTTGGAAAACTAACCACAATTCTCTTGATATATCTCCATCCTTTTGCATTTTATATCCAATGAGGAAAGGCCTTTGAAGAAGCATATGGCTGCTGTTTATTGCAATGATGTGATAAGATGAGATGAGAATCTGTTCTTTGGTGGCCTTATTATTACAATTTTAAGGACGGATGTGCTGCAAAGTCGTTTATCTTTGCAGCAAGGTGTTTATCTTACAGCAAGGTGTGTGCATGTTGTGAACAGAGGACTGTGAACAGACACCTCCCACGCAAACACATTTGCTGACGGCAAATGTGTGGAGGGGCTTTCAAATCCCTCTATGCATGTTCTATATAAGTTGCATTGGAGGAGGAGGTGCGTCTGTGTACATGACTTGCTAAAGGCAAGAAGGGGTTGTAATGCTATAGCTTCCCACCCTTGTTTCCAGTGATACAATGCATCCCAATGGCAGCATCAGCTATGATTGCTTGGAGGGTTTGTGTGTATCTAGCGATTTTCTTTTCTCTTCTAATCTTGTGCTTCACAGACAAGGACACCAGGCCTTAACCTTGAAAGGGGTGCCTTGCCTAGATGTTTCCTTTCATATCTGCAAGCGTGCAACGCTGGTAGGGGCGGCACGTTATCTATTGTGTGTTAGAATGGAAAGTATTTGTTGTTTGTGGCTCCTGTTCTTGATCTTTGGACATTTGGCTTGCCAAATTACTTCCCCCCACACCACACCACCCCTGACTGCTGGGGCAACTTCAATAGGATGACATGAAGAACTCATTGGCATACAGATAAAGGGTAGAAAAGGTCTCTCTCTCTCTCTCCAAAAGACACAAGAGAACAACTAATCAAAGATTGGCACCCACAATGCTTTCTTACTGATGTTGCTGTGAGAAAATGTTGTATTTGCAGAGAGCAAATGCACTTGAATACAGGGAGAAGGGTGCATGCCTCTTAAATGTCTTAGATTTAAAGACAAGTCATAGAATAATTTAGAGTTGGAAAGGACAATGTAGGTCATCCAAGCAATGCAGGGATCTTTTGTCCAAAGTGAGATTCGAACCCGCAACCCTGGGATTAAGAGCCTCGGGCTGCACTGACAGAGCTATCCCAGGCTGGCAGTCAAAATGTGTTTAGAAGATTTGTGGCGATACTTTTGGTCCTGGCTTCAATGGCCTGATAAACATATTATTTGTCGGGGGGCACGTCTCATTTATTATTTAGCTCAGATTAGTTTAAATGTCTTTTAAAACCAAAACTATTCAGATTATTTTACAATAAATTAAAAAATACAGAAATTAAAGCAAGACCATAATGCAGAACAGAATGAATATTGTCATGATATCTTAAGCACACCACCTCAAAACACAAATCATCAGGGATAATCAAGGAAACAAAGGCATAAAAGCAACCACCCCATCATATGCCTGGGAAAAGAGGAGCATCTGGACCTAGCACTGAAAAGACGACACAAGTCTGCACCAGGCAGGCCTTGCTGGGAAGAACATTCCACAGGTGGGGAGCCACCACTGATAAGGCCTACTCCTTTGTCACCACTCTTAAAAATTTCATCACAGAGGGTACACAGAGGAGGGTGTCTGATGTTGACCTAAGGGCATGGGCAGGTTTGTGATGGGGCTCTCGGTCCCAAGCTGTGATAGGATGCTGTTGTTGCTTAGTCGTTTAGTCGTGTCCGACTCTTTGTGACCCCATGGACCAGAGCACGCCAGGCACTCCTGTCTTCCACTGCCTCCCGCAGTTTGCTCAAACTCATGCTGGTAGCTTTGAGAACACTGTCCCACCATCTCGTCCTCTGTCGTCCCCTTCTCCTTGTGCCCTCCATCTTTCCCAACATCAGGGTCTTTTCCAGGGAGTCTTCTCTTCTTAAGAGGTGGCCAAAGTATTGGATCCTCAGCTTCACGATCTGTCCTTCCAGTGAGCACTCAGGGCTGATTTCCTTCGGAATGGATAGGTTTGATCTTCTTGCAGTCCATGGGACTCTCAAGAGTCTCCTCCAGCACCATAATTCAAAAGCATCCATTCTTTGACGATCAGCCTTCTTTATGGTCCAGCTCTCACTTCCATACATCACTACTGGGAAAACCATAGCTTGTAACTATATGGACAGGATAGAACCACCCAATGCAGCTGGGCCAGAATAGGGGTTCTGTGATCTGACCACCTGGTTCCTGTTCTCAGTCTGGCTGCTGCATTCTGCACTGGCTGCGGTTTCCGAACTGCCTTTGAAGGCTGCCTGTCACAGAGCAAGCTGGTCAGTAAATCACACAGTTCAAAGCTGGAGTTAAGCGAAACACGATCTTCACAGACTTGGCAGAGTTTCAGGCCTAATGAGCACAGCAGCTTCCACCCCATAGGCATGAGCACCAACATTGAGGGGGTGTGACGTCATTCGTCCCTCCGTGCATTCCACCCCCGCCCGGTGTGCAAGAGTGCCTGGCAGTGGCGGGCTGCAGGGGATGGTGGCCCGCTCCATATTGGGAGGCTCAGCCCCCTACCCACAAATATTGAGGGGGCTGAAGCCCTTTTCGCCCCCTATAGTTGACGCCTCTGCCTGTAGGTCCTACTCAATGAAATCAGTTGCTGAGCCTGAAAGTCCCTGCCTCCCCACAGCTGTATATGTCTCCTTCTCTGCAGGGCTCATTGCAAACAATCAGAGACTGTGCCTGCTTACAGGCTGCCTTTGCTCCTCCTGTTTCATACCTCTCCTGGTTCTGGGAGACAAGGGAGGAAGGGAGCTTGTCGCAGCAGGAAGCGAAGACACCCATGACTCTTCACCAGCCTGACTCATCCCTGCCTCTGGGAACTGTAGTTTAAGGGTTGCTGGGAATTGGAACTTTGTGAGGGGTAAAGTTGAGCACCCAGAATTCTTTGAAGGAAGGAATGTGCTTTAAAGGTATAGTGTGGACCAGGGGTTGGCAAACTAAGGATTGTAGGCCAGATCAGGCCCACCAGGCTTGTAAATCCGGCCCGCGGACCCTTCCACCTGCTTAATCAGTCCCCACACTGAGCTAAACCGGCGCTGTGCATCCTTGAAAAGAAGCCGCGGACACCTCGCCATGTGGGGAATGACTTCCGCAATGCTTGCATAGCATTCAGGTTGGCTCCAGGAACTTCCTGCAGCCAATCCGAAGCCTTGCCACCTGCACAATTAGGTAAACCCAGCATGGCCATGGACGGAGAAGTTGGCGGGTCTGGGCAGCGCCATGGGCATCATGACGGGCGCATCATGGGGCTTCAGCCAGAGCTTGGTGCGCCTGCTGGCCCCGCGCCTGGTGCCTGGCTCAGCACTGCTGGTGGCGCCATGCTCGGTGGAGGGCGAGCTGCGCGGCACCTGCATGGCACTCCATGTGCGCGGCGTGCCCGCTGACCTGGCCTTGGACAGTGGGCCGCAGAGTGTGGTACACGCCGCCTGGAAGCTCCGTGTGGACGGGCCGATGGAGCAGCTGCTGCTCATCAACAACACCAGTGAGCGGGCAGCGCCAAGATGCGCTCCTGAGCACATGCAGAGTGCGTTCCTCCTCCAGGTCTGGAGGCAGCTGTGGGACCGGCTTGCAGGGTATTTATATTTTTCAAAATATAGTCTGGCCCCCGACAAGGTCTGAGGGACAGTGGACCGGCCCCCTGATGAAAAAGTTTGCTGACCCGTGATGTGGACTGTATAGCCCCTGCCTCCATGCTGATTCTGCCTCCATCCCATTTTGTAGCTGGCAGGCCTAGAGAAATCACTGCTTGCTATTTTTCTTTTAACACCAGCCTCTTCCACATTCGCCTTAGCTATTTGATTCCTGATTCCACTCAAAACTGGAAATGCAGTATACAGAATGGACGGCAACAACGCAAGATAACTGTGTGTGTGTTAATGTCAAAACGTTGGACTATAACTTGGGAACATTTTTATCCAGTGATTTAAGCAGGTCATCTTCAACATCATGACTCTAGGCAACAACACACACCACCAGAGGTATGCCACGTGTTACCAAACTACTATTCTGGGAACGCTGCTGAGAATATATAAAAGCTTATTTTATGGGGCTGCGCCTGTATCTCCTTCTGCTAAGGAAATCAGGTTATGTCCTGATTTTGTTAAACCAAGGGAAAGAATAGTTTACATCAGAGCCCAAATAGTTTTATCCTTAGAAAAGAGCGTCCTGGTCCAAAAGCTGAGTCATACCTTTCCCGGAACACCAAGCAGGTGTAAAATTCCACTTTCAAACACTGGAAGAAATATATTCAAAGTTGTTGTGAGCAGTGGCTGGTGGAGCAACTCCCTACTCAAGCTGTCAGCCTGGCAGTCGGTTATGAAGGTGAGCTGGACAGATCAGAAGAGGCTGGCTAGTGCAGCCCCGCCAGAAAAGGAGAGATGTTCATCTGGCTAGAGGGCAAACTTGTGGTGGGCAGCATGTTTAGAGAGGGTTCGAAGCAGGGAAAGAACCAAGGACTGAGAAGGAGCGATAAAAGAAAAGTATACAGAGCTGGGCTTTGCTCACTCTGATACAGTGATCTTCTCCCACTGGGCCCTACCTATGTGTCAGGGAACTGTCATCGGAGCCAGGGGGAGAGGGAGGGCTCCAGAGGGATTCCAGAGAGCGTCCCGGGAAGGAGAGAAGCAGCACATCTTCTGGGGAAGGAAATCAGCGTAGCACCAGTGGAGAAGGGGGGCAGATGGGGGAATCGGCGAGGTGGCTCCATGACTCCTCACCAGGGACCAGCGGGGAGAGCACGGGTCCTCCGCTGCCCACACCCTCCCTGCGCAGAAGGCTTCCGCGCAGGGAGGCTAGGTGGAGGCTAGGCGTCAAAGAGCTTCTTTGCTGGAAGAAGTTCAAGAAACGCCCACTGACGGATTCTGCCAGCGATTGAGACAGCCACGGGCGAGTGGCTGTTCGGACAGAAAGGGTTCACTCAGGCAACCCAGCCAGGTGTGGCGCTGATTTACGCACGAGCAACCCCTAGAACCATTACACTATGCACCAATAGATCCCGTTGTGATCACACATTCCTTAAGAACAGTCCACTCTCCCTCCACCTACCTCAGTTTTATGATGGCATGTGCCCTCCTTGTGTTGGGGAAGTAGTCCAAGAGAGAAGATGGACTGAATCACTCACAAGCACCTGATAATGATCGATTAATCACCCTGGATGATGAATCTGTGAGATCTGAAGGTCCTTTAGTTACAGGAGGGAAGATTTTGGTTTACCATTGTGCTAGACGTCTTGATGGCGAGAGCATTTGGAACGCTCCAGCTCTGGGTTTCTGGGACTGGGCAAGGAGACTGGGTAGATGGCATGTCCAGACTTCAAGAGACTGAGAAATACTCCCACTATAAAATAAAATAAAATCGCAATGATCTACCAAAGTTTTTGAGCTTTTTTTAAGAAGTCAAAACTGTTTTTTAAAAAAAATTCTTTTGGGGGGAGCCAAGATCTACTGTGATCAACCATGGACACATACCACACACACACACACACCACCACCACCACGATCTACCAGTAGATCACGATTATATCTTCAATATTTTGCTAACGTATTGGAGGAAAACTTACTGACAGCCTACGGAAGGTCATTCTTGTTAAAACCAGTTAGTGAGGCAAAGGTGGGGAGGACCACATCTGTACTGGAAATTTGGAGCATGTCCATGTTTTACTTTTTAAAGATGGTAGAGATTAACAGTTGCTGAACTGTTCTCTACCGTTCATACGTTCTAACTTGGATGGAAGCAAACATGCACTGAAGGATGAGAAAACTATTGAGCAATATGTAAGCAATAGCAGTTCTGTCACTTAATGAGTTTGGTCCTGTTTTTGGCCTCCCGTCTACAAAGGTGGTGTTTGTGGTGACAGGCCAAGACTTGACAAATGATTGATGCTAGCATTTCTTATGTGAAGTAGTTCAGACCTATCGATCTCACTTTCTTGGGGAGGAACAATCTTAGCTGAGAAGAGCAGGTAGAAATTTTGCAGAGGGTGATATAATCGGAGGTTTTTCTCTCTGTGTGTGCGCAATGCATACTACTCCGGTGTGGAAAAGGATATAAACACAGAACATGTGAAACAGCTTTCTGCTGAGTCAGACTATTGATCCAGCCAGCTCAGTATTGATCCAGCCAGCTCAGTTGCTATAAGTCATTAGTCACAATTCTTTCCAAAACTGCTAACCCAAGATCCCTTTAACCGGTTGTACCAGAGACTGAGGGTCTCAGTGGTAGAGGATATGTCTATGGGTGCAAAAGGTCTTGGGTGCGATCCCTGTCATTTCTGTGCAGGGCTGTGAAACATTCCTGTCTAAAACCCCATAGAAGTTCTTCCAGCCACTATAGGCAGTACCAAGGTACACGGGCCTTGGTTTTGTTTTGGTTCTGTGACTTGCTGTCTTCCTATGAATCTAGGGCAAAGCATGTGCTCCCCAGCCCCTAGTTACAGATCAAAGCTCCCTTCGATTCCAGTCTTCTGCCTCATGAAAGCAGCCCAGAGCTAGGTTATCTCCAACAGATGCCTCCCCAGCATCCACCACTCCTGTATGTCATTCTCCCTGTTCTCAAGCTGTTTTTACCATAACTAAGGATTCTTCTAATGTTCAAGAAAGATCTGCTGAGGAACCTGGAAATAGTTACTTGGTTTCAATGAGACACTTTTCTTTTGGAAACAAGTAAAGGCAAACTAACAACCCCAACTAATGGAGAAACAAAACATGAAATGAACCCAGCTCTCAACTTTGGACTACTGTATAATAATAATAATAATAATAATAATAATAAATAAATAAATAAATAAAATAATGTATATGCCACCCATATGACTGGGTTGCCACAACCACTCTGGGAAGCTCCATAGTGGTATCTTGGGTTACGAACTTAATTCGTTCCAGGGGTCCGTTCTTAACCTGAAGCTGTTCTTAACCTGAGGTACCACTTTAGCTAATGGGGCCTTCCGCTGCTACTGCCACGCTACCGGCGCACGATTTCCATTCTCATCCTGGGGCAATGTTTTCAACCCAAGGTACTACTTCCAGGTTAGCGGAGTTTGTAACCCGAAGCGTTTGTAACCCGAGGTACCACTGTATTATATTATTATGTTGTGTTACAGAACAGGTTACAGAATCTTCGGGTTATGGCCGTGGCAAACCCAGAAGTATCTACTTCCGGGTTTCGCCGCTCGCGCATGTACAGAAGTGCTCTGCGTGTGTGTGCAGAAGTGGCGCATCTAGTTACAGATTTTTCAGGGTGCACACGGCACCCCGAAACAAATTAGATCCGTAACCAGAGGTACCACTGTAGTAAAAACAAACATCACATGCTAAAAACTTCCCTGAACAGATCTGCCTTCAGGTGGCTTTTTAAAACCGCATAGCTGTTTATCTGTTTGACATCTGCCCGGAGGGCGTTCCACATGGCGGGTGCCGCTACTGAAAAGGCCCTCTGCCATCATCTACCTAAAGTTCCATCATCTGTTCCAGCCTTTCTCAACCTGTGGGTCCCCAGATGATGTTGAACTACAACTCCCATCACCCCTAGCTAGCAAGGCCAGAGCTCAGGGGTGATGGGAGTTGTAGTCCAACAACATCTGGGAACCCACAGGTTGAGAACCGCTGATCTTTTGGTTCATGAACATAAGGAGAGTTCTGCTGAGGCAGGCCAATGGCCCATCCAGTCCAAAATCCTGTTCTCACAGTGGCCAACCTCACAAGCAGGACCTGAGTAGAACACCAGTCTCCTCACTAAGCAACTGGTATTCAGAGTTTCACTTCTTCAAGAGACACGCAGTGTGCCTCTTCCATTCTGAACCCCTGTTCCATCACAGGCCCCCATGAGCCCCACAGGAAATGGCCTGACTGTTGCTACACTGCACCTGTTCTTCTTTCTTCTGATAACCCTCCTTCTCCTCTTCTCTAGACTCACTTCAGCTCCTCTTTCCACAATTCCTCTCATTTGACTCCCCCCCCCCCGGAATTTCATGCCCCTACTTCACTCTTCCCGTGCTCCGTAATCTGATAGGTGCAGGCACTGCATAGCCTAAGATGTGGCCATTTTCTAACATCTCACGGATGCTTTAGCTGGGATTCATGCATTGCAGAGGGTTGGACTAGATGGCCCTTGTGGGGGGGAGTCCCTCCCAACTCTTCAATTCTATGATTCTATTTTCTGCCTCTTCACAAACCTAGTAAAGGTAGATTGGATTGTGGTGCTACAGGGGCCTCGCAAAGGCTGAGAGGTTGTTGTTGGCACCGTAGGGCCAGACTTTGGGGGCTGATGTCTAGTGTCCCACGCAGCAAAATGCGTAGGAGCCCCCCCCCCCCGACTTCAAATTGAAGCATTGCTGGCTTAATAAGATTTTGAATTAAGTGAATGTAATAATAATAATAATAATAATAATAATAATAAATATGATTTATTATTTATACCCCGCCCGTCTGGCTGAGTTTCCCGAGCCACTCTGGGTGACTCCCCATCGAGTGTTAAAAACAATACAGCATTAAATATTAAAAACTTCCCTAAACAGGGCTGCCTTCAGATGTCTTTTAAAGATAAGATAGCTACT